TTAAGGACTATTATAAACTTAATGAATGCTAAAATGTTGTGGTTTCCAGAAACAAAGGGATACAGGGATATAAGGTTAGAAATATAAAAAGGACTAAGAAGACAGAGATTGGAAAATAACAATTGGGAGTTGCTAGTTGAACTATGGACACTGGGATGCAGAGAGGGGGGGTATGGGGAAGTCAAAGGAAAGAGGTTTATGAAAATATGTTTGAAACTATATGTGTATGTTTGTCATTTTTGGTGTTTGTTTGTTTTTTGTTTAAAAAAGTTTCTAAAACCAATAAAAATTTTATAAAAAAAAAAAAAAAAGGAATCTGGACAAGGGAATTTAAAATTGGGAAAAAATGAGGAACCGAGAGAACTGAAATTGGCAGATCCTTCCATCTCTTTCTCTAGGTGTTATCATGTGAGTGTGTCCAACGCATCACATCACACAGAACTAATCCCTTGGCTATAGATGAAACCAGCCTAGATTTGCCAAATGGCATTTACAGTAATTCTTTTAATTTTAGAAACAGACATGCTTAAATAAAATAAGCAAACCTTTTGGCCTGGTGCTCCATCTTCTCCTGGCAGGCCAGGTAGACCTGCTAGTCCTGAAGAACCTGGTTCCCCCTAATGTCAACGAGAAATGGAAAGTTAAGAACACAAATAAAGCCCAGCTGGATCAGACCAAAGGCCCATCTAGTCCAGCATTTTGCTTTCTCAGTGGCCAACCAAATGCCTCTTGGAAGGTCTCAAGTAAGACACAAGCACAGCAGCATTCTCCTCACTTGCAGTTCCCAGCAAATGATCTACATTGCCTCTGATATTTGAGGCAATATATAGCCATCGTGAACCAGTAGCTGTTGAAACCCTTTCCCTCTCTCTCTCCTGTTTCTGTTCTCCCTGGTACTCAGTTCTCCTAAATATACAATAGAATCAAGTCCTTGAATTTAAATACACAGGGCTACTTATGCAATGCAAAAATAATTAAATACCTTATTATAATGCAGTTTTATACAGTTTTAATATACAGCTTTTAGAATGCTACTCTACCTTTGCTCCAGGTTCTCCAAGACCTCTTTCTCCCGGAGCTCCAGTTTCTCCTGGTAAACCTTGATCACCCTTAAACAAAACAAAATGATTTGAAATGCTTGAGCAACATAAAGAACATCTGCTCGGCTTATTCCGTCTTCAGAGAGAGACGATGGGAGTACATCAGTAGAGAGCAGCACCATTTAAACCACTATATACTTGGCAAAATTGAAATGGTAAAAATAAAATCCTGAACACCTTGGCAGGGCTTCCATATCACACTAAGCTATGGTTTAGTTTTATGTGCATGAGCCCAGCATGGCTGAGAAAGAGGGAAACCAGAGGCTTTCACTTCAGTTTTCAAGTTACTGTGGTTTCTTGTTATACCCAAACTCCACTCCCAACCACATTTGTTGTTGATTACACTGCCCACATGCGAGAAGTTTGCTTGGTGGGGATTTCTGCCAAAATCCCACATAGTTATTTAAAAATCAAGCAGTTGCAGTTCTGGTTGTCAGCAGAGTGACTGAAAGAAAGCATATGGAACCTGGTGCGAAAAGAAACTGGAACCACTCAATAATACATGATAGAAGGATAAATAAAACACAGGGGGAGACTCCTTCAGAGCTACTTTTTCCTTCAACTTCTCCAGTTGTCAAATTTCAACTATCTTGCTCATCACAGCCAGCTCCCAGCTGACTAAAGTCTCCAGCCAATCAGAGTCTCCTGTCCTGCAGACCAATCACAGAATTAAACCCAACACTGACTTGGCTCACCTTTGATCCGGGCAATCCCTGTCCAGGTGGCCCTCTTGGCCCTGGTGGTCCTTTGGGGCCTTCTACTCCCTAGAGAAGATGTCAGAAAATGAATCCTGGAGAAAGAGTTCCCTAAGCAAGCAAGGCTTAAGCAATGTTTAAATACCTGCAAGCACCAAAACTCACCTTCTCTCCTTGAAGTCCAACACCAGGTAATCCAATAGGCCCAGGCAAACCAGGCGGGCCAATTTCACCCTTATAAACAAAGCATTGTTACTTAATACAAAATATAAATGCAAGTTACTTAGGCTGCAATCCGATACCCAGGAGTAAGCCCCACTGAACTAATTGAAACTTAGTTATAATAGACACATATAGGATTGTGCTGTAAATATTCACTGGCTACAATTTGGACCAGCTCCTTCGAAGCCATTGACATAGTCTCAGTACAGAGACGTTGACAAATGTATGCTATATTTTCTTAGGACGCATTAAATGCCAGCCTTTTATAGATGCTGTCTCTGGCACAGTAAGGAACGTGTACAGTCTTCTTTTCTTTTTGTACCCCAGAACTTAACTTTCCCACAGAATGAAACCCTTCTTATTTCATCTCACACTTTACTATGAAGAGATGTTAAAATGGGCTTTGGGTAGTTTATTGGGCATAAATCTATCTGAGAAACTACAGTATTGTTCAATCGCCATTGAAAAAGCAAACTCTTTATTTTGCTTCATTACACTCTTTGTGACTACTATCAGTCACAGGTCATTTAGACTTTGCAAATCCCCTGGCATATTTACTGCTCACCTTTTCACCCTTTATGCCAATGCCTGGTTGGCCTCGGGGTCCCTTTGGACCATCAAAGCCACGATCTCCCTGTATGGAAAGACAAAATTGCATAGAGGTTAGAAAATGTGATCTGTGCTTTATCCTTAAAGTTCTGTTTAGTACAAATGGACTGATTGCTGGCAATGTAAGGATATAATTCAAAAATACTGAGAATGCAAAAGGCAGTGCTTGGAGTTGATTTTCTCTTGTGCATCAAAGAGAGTTCCCCACCCACCTGATGAGATCACTGTTGAATTTGAAAGTCATTACAAAGAGATGAATAAAATGATTTATCTTCTTTCCATTTCAAATGTTTATGTTCCGGTCCTGAATTCTCCATATTGATGGGAAGAATTCAGCGCTTGTCATATAACAAACATGGCTTTCTTAATGTACATGATTCATTTACATAAAGATCATGATTCACCTATTGCATGCTTTTTGGCAATGTTATGCTCTCTTATAGTGGAAAATATTGTTATTTATTTAAGGTGCTTAGACTCACCATTTTTTTGTGAAACCAGGGTGGTTTCCAGTAATTTAAAACTGCAGATGGCCAACAGCACTATCACCTGCCTAGGGAGGGAAGGAGCCTGAATTTTCTTCCGCTTCGACACCCTCCATAAGGGAAAAGAGTTAAAAGGTCTCAGACAGGTGATTAGTGCTGCTAAAACTGAAAGTACCAACTCTCTGTTAAGCACTGTGTGTTGCAGACCCATGTGCAATGTGCTCCTGGGGACAGAAGGTTGAGGCAGTGAACAGGTGGAACAAATTGGGACAACAACATCTTGCACTTGAGAATTAGTCACAACTTTATAGATTACAAATGTAGATAGGCTTTGGCTTAAGGTGCTGGGTGTGTATTCTGTATCAGCCTCCTACAAGATGGCTGGAGTTTTGGACAGGGTCATGCCACTTCAAGATGCAGGTCAACTAAGCTGCCCCGCCCCCAGGCCGCCATTGGAAGTTCTAAGGCCCGTCCACTCTCCATATGGCTTCAGGAGAGATCCATTTACCAGGGTACCCTGAGATTTTGCACCTGCTCAAGGACAGGGGCGATGCACCAACTCACCCCACCCCTGGAAACAGACTAAGGATTCAACCCAATGCCTTATCTAGCACACAAGCCACTGGATACAGAGATCCACCACTATCTTCCTATTCCTTTGCACATTGTGTTCTTGATGTAGCCAGAGATGTGGATGGAGAAACCCCCGCGTCTCCACTCCTCCACATGCAGCCGCTGGGTGACCTTGGGCCAGTCACACTTCTTTGAAGTCTCTCAGCCCCACTCACCTCACAGAGTGTTTGTTGTGGGGGAGGAAGGGAAAGGAGAATGTTAGCCGCTTTGAGACTCCTTAAAGGGAGTGAAAGGCGGGATATCAAATCCAAACTCTTCTTCTTCTTCTTCTTTTTTCCTCAACCACATTACCCCAGCCGGATCAGGCTGTTGATTAGTATCAACAAGGAACAATCTTTTGCTTCTAATATTTCTTTTATATATTTTGAAACTTCTTGTTTTAAAATAGTACCCGCCGATCTTGAAAACAGGCCAAATGTTTGGTTCTTCCTTTTGACAGGTTTGATTTTGTTTAAAAACGGGAAATGTAACATTATAATTTGCCTAGATAAGAAAACACTTGAATGTACAAAGATGTATGAGAAGCCTTACATATATCTGTTGACATTTCATCCTTGCCTTTCTGAAGAACTAAGTTCTATTAACAGTGGAGTTCTGGCTAAATGCCAGATTGCTTAATTACATTTGTTCTGCCTGTTTAAATCTCCTTTGTAGTTTCAGTTTGTTAATGCATTCTTTACTTCACTAAGCTGTTGTGAAGTGTTGCTGTGTGTTCGCAGGGAAGCAATTGCTTCATGTCATCCCAGGAATGGTTTGATTTCTACAGGCGTGTTCAGCTTTATATATAAAAAGAGAGATGAGCTGAATTTTTCTTTTTTCCTGCTACTGCCTGCATTCCTAATCATATTGATTTGAAATAGTAATTGTTGGTTCTGGCTTTATATGCTTTACTTGTGGTTTTAATGTGCAAGTGTACCCTGTCTGGGGACTTTGGGGTGAAGGATGGGTCATAAATAGTTGACAAAAATAAAAACATACCAAAGATGCTATAAGATATGATAATACAGTGGTACCTCGGGTTAAGTACTTAATTCGTCCACTCTTAACCTGAAACTGTTCTTAACCTGAGGTACCACTTTAGCTAATGGGGTCTCCCACTGCTGCCACGCCGTAGTCATGCGATTTCTGTTCTCATCCTGAAGCAAAGTTCTTAACCCAAGGTACTATTTCTGGGTTAGCGGAGTCTGTAACCTGAAGTGTCTGTAACCTGAAGCGTCTGTAACCCGAGGTACCACTGTAAAACCATTAGGGATATGAGCATTCCTGTGGAACCACAGCACTCATGCAAAGGAAGCTTCCCACAGGTGGGCAAAAGGTAAAGGTAAAGGTACCCCTGCCCGTACGGGCCAGTCTTGACAGACTCTAGGGTTGTGCGCCCATCTCACTTAAGAGGCCGGGGGCCAGCGCTGTCCGGAGACACTTCCGGGTCACGTGGCCAACGTGACAAAGCCGCATCTGGCGAGCCAGCGCAGCACACGGAAACGCCGTTTACCTTCCCGCCAGTAAGCGGTCCCTATTTATCTACTTGCGCCCGGAGGTGCTTTCGAACTGCTAGGTTGGCAGGCGCTGGGACCGAGCAACGGGAGCGCACCCCGCCGCGGGGATTCGAACCACCGACCTTTCGATCGGCAAGCCCTAGGCGCTGAGGCTTTTACCAACAGCGCCACCCACGTCCCTGGGCAAAAGGTAGATAGATCCTAATCTACTGGGGAATCTCAGGGTGATTTGTAACAGATCAATAGGAATTATGGTCTGAACAATAGCAACGGGGGCGGGGGGCGGGGGAAAGCTTCTTCCCACTGCCTAAATTAGGCTGTGGAGATAAAGAAAGCTTGAAGGGGAAACCAGGACTAGATTTGGGTAGGGCCAGATTGTAAGCCTAGACTCAGCTCTGAAAAAAAATTCCTGGGTTGAACATGTGTTCTGAGGCACCTTGTTCCTTAATTCTATGTCCTCAAAGCCTCCACCCCAAACCACTACTTTGCACCCAAGTCTGATTGGTGGACCTTGAGGTTGTAGTAAAAAACAAAGTAGATCCTTCAAGTCTGAAGACTGTCCAGCCTTGCCATAATGCTTAACAGCTTTGTTTACCTCTTACCCTCTTCTTGGAGCATGCCCCAGGTCGTTCTGGGGAGTGGGGAGCTTGACTCTATCTTTTAATCCAGCTTCCTCCCTCCACTTGGTTAAGAAATATACCAGTAAGTCCAGATTGTTGTAACAATTGTTTTCTCAAAATTTATCTTCTGTACCATGAGAATAAATAAAAACAGTTGAAAAAAGAAAAGAAAAGAAAAGAAAAATATAAGCCCAGAGCTGATGCAGCTTGACTGAATGGAGTGGGACAGCTCTTTTATGGCCTATGTCACTGTACAATCTTAGATTCTTACTGTGGCTAATGTCGTGTGCACATGGCTTCCCAAAACTGTGGTGGGAGAGCACTGAACACAGAATAAATGGGAGTGTGTCAACAGCCTAAGTGCTAAAGTTGTTATTGATGTTGAACAGGTCTCCAGCTACAGCGTGCAGGTTCTGAGGACTGGGTTACAATGAAAAGCAACACATTTCTATGTACGTTTTGATAATTCCAAGTTTGGAAATGGGCTTGCACAAACACTTTAAAGGTTATTTATATGCCATGGCATTTTTTAAAGCAAAACTCTTTTGTACCTTTGGTCCTGGAAGCCCTTCTCCTGGAGATCCCCTTTCTCCCTGAATACCTTGCGGTCCTTGAGGCCCCTGTAAAAATGTTTTTGAAAGCAAAATTCTGGAAATCAATAGCAAATCAATCAAAGTAGGATCTTCATACATCTTTGTGGTTTAGAGCCTAGTCTCAACCTGCCCTAAATTGCTAAAGTAATGCTATATTTATGAAAAGCAAAAGTAGCTTTTTTCATGATACATCAAACAGCAGACAGCTATGAACTCCAGGTATAACAAGTTATACTGGATTATGCTAGGAGTCCCCCTGCTCCCGGCACCATTAAAGAAAAGGCTTAAACATGTGAGCCTGCAAGGTTTACCCTGTAAAAGCCTGAAAATGCAGTCAAGTATAAGATCAACTTTAATAATAGATTCTTTATGGGCTCACTCAAGCTTAAAGTTAAGCAAGTCTTTTAAAACAGATGCAGTCGTTTGCACACATTCTAGGGAATTATTTCCATATTGTCTTGTTTGCTGAGGATATTGTGTGTGTGTGTTTGACAGAACCCCTAGAGCAGGGTTTCCCAAACTTGTGTCGCCAGCTGTCTTGGGACTACAATTCCCATCATCCCTGACCACTGGTCCTGCTAGCTAGGGATGATGGGAGTTATAGCCTCAAAACAGATGGACACCCAAGTTCGGGAAACCCTGTTCTAGATGCATTCCAGAGGATGCTGATGACATACACATGTTCTATGGTGCTGGAAACTCACACAGAGTGTAGGCCAGATCTAGTAGGAAATATTATAGCTTTGCATAAGTTGAGACGAACCCCCTTCCTAAAACAAACTCAGTATTTCCCTGCAGATGAATGTTTAAAATTTATTTCATAAAATGTATATACTGTGTTGATTGTAAACAACAAACCCCCACCCCACAAGTGGTATACAAAATGGGCGGCTGGCACTGCCAGTATAACTGAAGAACTACCAGGATCCTTTTGCTAATTAGTATGTTTCATTCTCACTTCTAAAGTTATGTTTGTATTTACTATGAAAAGTTAAAAACTATCTCAGAATGAAGCAGGTAAGTGGATGTATAAATATGAACAAGAAATTTAGAGGTTGCCAATGTGGTGACCTCTGGATATTGTTGGGAGTCCAACTCCCATCAGCCTCAGTCAGTGTGGCAATAATCAAGGGTGATGGGACTTGGAGACCAGCAGTATTTGGAGGTCCACATATTGGCTACTCCTGAAAAGCGTGTTCTCCCTAACCAGAGAGCACGTGTTGCGGTTGGGGAAACATGCCACCTTGCCATGACTAGGCAGATTTGAGGGAAAACCCAAGCCTTCTAAAGGGTTAAGATTGGGTTGCTGGGGAGTTTTGTATGTTGCTAAATTCAGAGGAGGGGTTAGAGTCTATAAATATAGGGGGCCAGGGGTTGGACTTCCTCTTGGCCGTTTGCTTCGGATCACCCGCCCTCCCTCCCTTTAATAGGGGGGTTTTCTTGATCGCTTGACCTTGCTATGCCTGTCATGGTGTCGTCTGCCTTGGTGCGGGGGCACAGTAGGAATTTTGCCATCTGGCTGATTGGCTGGTGCCATTTGGTTTTCGCCTACTGCGTAGCAAATCGTCACAACTTGTAAGGTTGGCGGTTAGGCATTGGTTAAAGTGGTGCTTGGAGGGGTAAGTGCCTGCCCCTCCAAATGATGCGAAGGGAATTCCGTTAAAGGAATCCAGGGGCTTGCCATTCTTTTCGTCCTTGTCCCTGGCATCGGACTTGGGCCGTGCAAGCCCCAAAGGAACATGAGGGTGAGAAGTGAGGGACTGATGCCCAGCTTCATTTTCTCACCCAATACTTGTTTCCCACTATGGCTTCCGCTGGTGTCCGGAATGCCTCTGGCTTCCGCTGGTGTCCGGAATGCCAGCTCTGTCCCTGAGGGCATGGACAGATAGTCATAACCAATGCCTAAGCAACCACTCACATTTTTTGTATTGAATAAAGTTGTGGCCAAAATTATGCCAAAAACCCAAACAAAAATTGATGTGTGAAGTGTGAATTATTTGGGGGGTGGCAACTGTGGGACTCAACACGCAACTGGATGAGTAGAGTGTAAACATTTGTAGACACCCCATCCCCCCCAAAAGGGAACTGAAAATGAACATGCTATAGAAAAGGAGAACAAACAAGTCAAGAAGAAGAAGGTGGGAGACAGGAAGCCACAACAGAGGGCATCACCATAGTCAAGAGACATGATAGAATTAACACAGTGGTCATAGTTTCCATAGATGGAAGACAAAAACACAAATGGAAAATGGAAGGAAAGAACACAGCTTAAAGACATCGAGAACCAGAGTTGGCAGTTGCTCAGATAAAAGAATGAAAAGACCAAGAGGTTTCTCTTATTCTTCTACAATCACACTCCCGTTCCATCTGAGCCAAAGAAAGACATGGAGGGATAATAGAAGGATGTCCACAAACCAGATACACAAATGGGGTGAGATTACACAGCACAGAAGAAACAAGAAAGCAATCAGAAAGAGAACGAGGTGAAAGATCTGGAACACAGAGTTGCAGATCATCTCCATTAAAGAGATAACTACTTTGGAAAGAACTTGTAAGAGAAGCTGAATAAGAAAGGCTGAAAAAAGTAAAGAACCAGGAACCAAACCTTGAGTGGATCAGAGCCACTCTGATGTGCACTGATTTTTGCATATAAAGGTGCAATTATTTGTTACTAAGGGATTTCCCCCCTGTGTGATCTCCCCACGCACAGTACATACCGGTAAACCTGGTTCTCCAACTCCAGGTGGCCCAACAGGGCCTGGTCTTCCTGTTAAACCAATGTCACCCTTCAGAAAAAAATATGTTATGTTTGGATTTGAACAAAATTATGGACACTGAAATGAAGCAGCATTCTTTGATTTAATACAGTGATATTAAGAAGACTAGAGGGAAGTAAAACAAATCGGATACCAGTAATAATAACTTCATTTGCCCCTCTGTCTCTCTAGATATGTCAAATTTTATTACCAATAAACTACTGAGAGTTACACCATTCTGTGCGTTCCCTCCCCCCTTTTAATGGTATGAATGTATTTGAACTACATCCAGAATACCTTTCAGGTATTACAAAGACATCATTTATCCTTGTTTTAAGTTGTTTTTGGGTTTGTTTTTAATCCAACCATATATTATTTCAGCAGCTGTCCTTTTGCACAGTAGGCTATATGATTGGCATTTTTACCTTGGGGCCAGGCAACCCTACTCCCGTTTCTCCAGTCAGTCCAGCAGGGCCAGGCAGGCCTCTTTCACCCTTTAGAAAATTGCAAAACAAAAGAACTGATTTCAACTTTTTGATAGGTTTCAGAGAGAAGAAAACCTGCTCCTCCCTCCCTCCTGCCCTTAAACTAAGGTACAATAAGCCCACAATTTATGTTGGGGTTAAGTTCCAAAGCCAAATTCTGTATGGTCAATTGGGGTTCAATCTTAAATGGGATTGCCAAAGCCTTTTCCCCTGGAACCTCAACCCCCTTTTAATTTTTTGCCACACGTGTAAAGCTGAATGTGCGCAAGTTAAATGCTCGTAAGTTGCGGGGGCATTGCTTTCGCAATATGTATCATAATGCTTCTGCCATGATAAAACTAGCAGATTGCTTTGAGTGGGAATAATAAATGAAACAAGACTGGGAAACACATCCAAACATAGAAGGAATTAGCAGAAGTAGAAAAGATGAGTGGGTTTTCCTTGTTGTGCTCCTGCATTGAACATTGGTTTGCACCGCCCTGTCTTGCCCTGCTTGTGAATTCCAGTTTAACAAGGATAATTTCTAAAATCTATTCTGGATTCAGAGCGTGCCCGCTATGTTGCAGCTTTCAGTTCCTTTGCATCTTTTGCCCCTTGAACAATGTCATGGCCCCGCTGATACACTGCCAGAAAAAGAAAAAGGAAAGCAGTCTTGATGTGACTGAGCATATGATTGCACCAATATTTTTTTTAGTGTGCTATTTCATCAATGCACAGCAGTGCTTTTTGGGGTAGGACCGCTCATCTTCCGCGGTGGGTGGTGTTGCGGCTGGGCATCCGGGCCCTTGTGGTGATCCAGCTCAGGGGCAGGGGATTGATGCCCCCCTCATGCCAACCCTGGCCACGTCAGAATATGACACTAAAATTTAATTGGGGATGAAAGTAATAGATGCAAAATTGGAAATTGCCCACATGGAAACTGACCCAACCACATGTGCCCAACTCGAAGCGGATTTTACAATCAATCCCCCTCTCCATGAGATTCTCAAGAAAAGCACTTTTGAAAGAGTCTAATGTGACCTTCTGGGTTGCTACATGCACGGTAACCAGCATGAAAGCCAAACGCAAGCTGAATTGCTATGAAGACTGTTTTCCTCACGGAATACAGAACAGCATGGTAACAAAAAATAATCTCAAAGTGGAAGAAAGCAGTTGTGTGTGGATCTATTTCTTACTAATTAATACTCATGTTCTGTCCCATTGTTGGAGAGATGGCCTGGAGAAAAAAATATCTTTCTCTTGCTTTTGAGAAGAAATTCAAGTGTCATAAAAAGCCTCAACAAGGTGTTATTTATGAGCTGTACTTTAATGGTTCCCTGCGGCTTAAAGCCATACAAAGCTCTGAATGGGCTGAAGTGCCTTGAAGGGGATTTTTTGTGATGTGGAATGTCATATGACATCTCGCTGTTGAATGACAACGGAGTTGATTCTTGCTTTTTAGATGTTCCATTTGGTGGTTTTGCAGACACGGCCGGAAAAGTCAGTTTCAGCACAGCTAAGATGGATAGAATTCATAGCAGAGGAAATATCTGAATAGTAGCAACATTTTCCTCAGGGATGAAGAGCCTGTGGGCCTTTCCAGATGTTACCAGATTACAATTCCCATCATCCTTGATCATTGGCCATGGTGGCTGAGGTTGATGGGAACTGGGAGTCCAACCACACCTGGAAGGCAATCGGCTTCCAAGCCATGGTTTACAGGGGCAGCCAGTGTGGAAACCTCCACAGGTTGTTGGCCAACGGTTCCCATCATCCCATACCATTTGTCATGATGGCTGGGGCTGAGAGGAGTTGGAGTCCAACAACATCTGCAGGCCACCATGTTTCTTTTTAACAGTTTTTGGTTTTCCAGTTTCATATGGCGCATGAACCGGGCCAACGTGAGTGAAAGCAAAAGTGGGTCCCAAAATCGCAAAGGTAGCAGCAGTCTCTCACAGCGTTTAGAATTAAATTAATGTTAAGAGTCTTGCCTTTGATCCTTGCATTCCTTCAGGTCCTTGGTCTCCAGGCAGTCCTTGGGAACCCTGTTAAACAGGAAGGCATTTTTTATTTATTTTTTAAAAAGACCTTGGCCGAGTGCATCATTAAATAGGAATATGACTGTTTTACTTCAATCCACACAAAACAGTTTATTCAGTGTTCAACTAATTGTGATGTTGTTGTTGTTGTTGTTGTTTTGTTTTGCATTGGAGATGATTACACTGCCTTTTGTTTCATGGCCTTCAAAAACCTGTATCATATGCATTTGTTTTTTCCATTTGAAGCTCTGATCTGTAAGTTTCTTTCAGTCTGTTGTGCTTTTAGCTCATAAAACCCATTACTAGCAGACTGGCAACCCACAAGAAAGGTCTTTCAGCTTGCTGGAGAATCCTGACTTGGGCATTGCTACCTTAACCGTATTAGGCTAATGGTTAAAGAAAATGGCTGTGAAAAGGCTTTCCCTTCTCTGTGACCACAACCCCCCCCCATGTGTGTTTCCCACCCCCTCACAAGGTATGTGAGGATTACAGAGACTAGTTCTCTAAATACAGGAAGAAACAGAAGAAAGTCAGTCATTCATCTGCTGTTAACCATGGGTTACTGATTTATTTCATTTATTAAGCACATCCCATAAAACATCCTGAAGTGATTTAACTATGAGAACACCAACAATAAAAACATATTTTGAGCCCAATACAAACACAGAGAGACAGAAAAATCTCCACTTAAAAGCCTTGTTGGAAAAGGAAGGTTTTCAATAGGCACCTTAAAAACATAATACTAGAGATGGTACCGGTCTGATACGTAACAGGAGAAAGTTTCAAAGGGGAGGTGCCGCCACACTAAAGGTCTGATTCCTACACTGTACAGAACAGACTTCTGGATGAGAAGTATCTACAGGAAGTCCTCACCTGCAGAGTGCAGTGATCAGTTGGATATAGATAGCCCACAGTTCCAGGGACATGAAGAGTGATGGGATGGGGAGTTGGCATCAGTGACTGACAGCCAACATATAATTCAGAGGAGGGACAATTTAGCTTCAGAAAGATGGCAGCTAGCACAGTCTTGAAGCAAAGCACTTCCACTCTTTGTTCATTTACCTGAAGACCTCGGAGGCCTCTTGGTCCACCTGGGCCTTCTGGACCCTGAGTGATAAGAGGAGAAATTATATGTGAGCCCATATACAGTGCAAAATATTACAAATCGTACAGTGAATCTCCAGCAAGGGAAAAACAAAATGATTCAAATGTGGGAAGGATAATTGAAACGTGGGCAGAAAGGCTAACGTCAAACTAGATATTTAAAAATCCAGTTTGTAGTATCACGCTCTCTGCAAATATGTACCTAGCATTTCAGGACTATTTTCTCTCCAATAAGTCTCTCTTTCTCCCTGCTCCTACCCATGACACCCAGTGTGGTATAGTGGTTAGAATGTGAGACATGGACCTGGAAGACCAGGGTTCAAATCCCCACTCAGACATGAAGCTCACTGGGTGACCTTGGGCCAGTCCCTGCCTCTCAGCTTAACCTACCTCAAAGGGTTGTTGTGGGGATTAAATGAGGAAAGGGTTAACCAAGTATGCTACCTTGAGTTCCTTGGAGGAACTGTTGTTGTTGTTTAGTCGTTTAGTCGTGTCCGACTCTTCGTGACCCCATGGACCAGAGCATGCCAGGCACCTCTGTCCTCCACTACCTCCCGCAGAAAGAGGAGGAACTAAGGGCTAATAATAATTATTATAATGGTATTGTTTACACAAAGGGATGCGGGTGGTGCTGTGGGTTAAACCACAGAGCCTAGGACTTGCCAATCAGAAGGTTGGCAGTTCGAATCCCCACGATGGGGTGAGCTCCCGTTGCTCGGTCCCTGCCAACCTAGCAGTTTGAAAGCGCGTCAAAGTGCAAGTAGATAAATAGGTACCTCTCTGGCAGGAAGGTAAATGGCGTTTCCATGTGCTGCTCTGGTTCGCCAGAAGCGGCTTAGTCATGCTGGCCACATGACCCGGAAGCTGTACGCCAGCTCCCTCGGCCAGTAAAGCAAGATAAGCGCCGCAACTCCAGAGTCGGCCACGACTGGACCTAATGGTCAGGGGTCCCCTTTACCTTTCCCTTTACACATTGCTCACACTACTATTGTAGCACTGGGCCTAGAAGTTCTATGAGCATTACCGCTTCTGATTTTACAAGTCCTTACATTACAATCTGATGTAGTTGACCATCAGATAGTTACTTACTCTGTCGCCTTTTATTCCTGGTGTTCCACATTCGCCTCTTTCACCCTTAGATTGAGAAAAGCGCAATCAATCATTAATGTTATCTCAGAACTTTTGAAAAATGTGTAATGTCCTTGCCAGTGCTTTATCCCCCACCCATTCCCATTCTATTTCAGATGCTAAATTCTTTATCCTCAAATCAATATGGCTGTATTGGTCTTTAGCATGAAGCACCTAGTTGATTCAAGAAGGCGAAAAATCCGTACCTTTTCTCCTTTGTATCCAGACTTTCCCTGATGGGAAAAAGAAGAAGAGCAGAATGCATATTGATTAAATTACTACTGACACTAAACAGTAATCACTAATTCTGGTTCCTGCTCCCCCCGCCCCCGGCTATGTTTTTAGCTGCTCCTATTTTATCTGTAAGCCGCGTTGAATCCCTATCAAGGGAAAAGGTGGGGTATAAATACATATATCAGCAGCAGCAGCAAAATTTACGGCAAGTACTAGGAAAATAAATCTTACTTATTAATCCAGAGTTTTAGAATGAGTAACAGAAATGACAAATTTATTGGCTGGCTCCATCCAGCCTGCTTTGCTTGCATTTGGTGATTAGGGTCTCTTTGCCTTTGGGGTGGGGAGGCACTGCCCTCTCCCTCTGTTTCGTTAGAAACCAAACCCTAGAAAAGTTTCAGGAGTTGCTCTGCCAATTTCAGAACGGGTGCTGCTTTCCATCACTAGATCTGTGTGATGAAAAACACTCCAAAAGCAGACCAATGAGCTCTTGTGTGTAGAGTGAGTATTGTCTTGATTTATGCTTCAGATATGAAAATATGTAATAAAGCTGGTTCTGCAAATGCCATTGGGTACCATTGCGAGTGCCAAATGCCAGCCATTTCCCGTGTCATTCCAGTTCTGGAAATATGGCAGAAATATTGCTGACATGATTTGGAAGCACACGAGCAACCTGAATCACATGACAGAGGTTTTATGTGAGACCTTAGGACTTGGGAGTAGCAATGGCTCACATGTTGCTAAGTTATTGTTCAAAGTGGATCTTACATAACCATGAGTAGAATGAGCAGCCTTTTTTGTGCATTTTATTGCTCCTTGAAATTGCTGCTTACAAGTTATTTTCTTCACACCCTTCTTTATATTCTCTTGCATTTTAAGAAGGCATACCCAAAAAGTAAACATGAGATCAAAAAGGAGCAGTGATATATATGGGGCAGATGTGTTTTTAAATAACAGAGTTTCCCTCAAAGTAAATAAATACATAATAGAACACACACACACACACACACACACACACACACACACACACATTTTTTACCTCTGTTCCATCTCTTCCTGGAATTCCATTTAAGCCTGGTTCGCCCTAGAAGCATCAGGGTGTTGGGTTATTACTTTGCTTAACGTTCTGTAGTCAGTGAAAATGTTGTCCATTTAAGTTAAGATTACATTACATATTGCTGAAAACAGATAGGAAAAATGTACCCTGCTGTTCAAACTAGCTCCATCTTCAATGCAAAGCATAATTCATATTCAGAAATGTGGATGTTTTAGAACCGTAGTTCCCAACATGGGGCACACACTCCCACCACAGGGGGGCAATTTGTTTTTTAAGGGGGGCAATTCGAGAATGAGTTATTAACAGTTAATGGCCTTTTAGGCTTCCTCCACATGAATAGGAGTTCACTTTTTGAATAATAAGAATTATATGTCACGGGGGGCAGGGTGCATCAGGATTTTAGAGATGCTTAGGTGGGGCATGGCCCCCCAAAAATAAAATGTTGGGAACCACTGATTTAGAATGATTTATACCCCCTCAGTTGTAAATTGCCATGTGGTGACTGAGCATGCTTTTATTTCAACTTGCTCCCGTCTTAAATTACTAATGTTAATCAATGAGCATTTCAATTAAATCAAATGTCATGTTACCTTCACGCCCTTTGGACCAGGGGCTCCATCATCACCAGGACGACCCTTTTTACCCTGGAAGGAGAAAAACAACAGAGGGAAGTTAAATGGAAAGCCTTGTGTTTAAACTTCATCTGTTAATTGCATTTTTAAACATGCAAAGAAAGGGGGGAGACCTCTTGGTTTATATTCTCACTATTAAGAAAATGATTCTATGATTGCAGGAAATAAGTAAAGTTCTAAAGATTTCCCTCTCACACCTGAAGCTTAAAAGCAAGTCATGCTCCAATCTGTGCAAGAGCTACATTGGTCAGAATGCATTTTCCCGGGTCATTCTCAGCTTTCAAACAGCTCATTGGTAGAAAATAATGTTTTCATGAACATATGTTTTCTATTAGGGTGTTTCCAGGTGCCCTTTTTTATTAAGCATTCACCCTGGGCAATTAGATGACAGCATCTTAAAAAGCAGAGACATCACCTTGCCAACAAAGGTCCGAATAGTTGAAGCTATGGTTTTCCCAGTAGTGATGCATGGAAATGAGAGCTGGACCATAAAGAAGGCTGATCGCTGAAGAACTGATGCTTTTGAATTATGGTGCTGGAGGAGACTCTTGAGAGTCCCATGGACTACAAGAAGATAAAACCTATCCATTCTTAAGGAAATCAGCCCTGAGTGCTCACTGGAAGGACAGGTTGTGAAGCTGAGGCTCCAATACTTTGGCCACCTCATGAGAAGAGAAGACTCCCTGGAAAAGAACCTGATGTTGGGAAAGATGGAGGGCACAAGGAGAAGGGGACGACAGAGGACAAGATGGTTGGACAGTGTTCTCGAAGCTACCAGCATGAGTTTGACCAAACTGCGGGAGGTAGTGGAGGACAGGGGTGCCTGGCGTGTTCTGGTCCATGGGGTCACGAAGAGTCGGACACGACTAAACGACTAAACAACAACAAAATGCTAAAGCAAGTGTTGTTGTTATTAATTACATTCATATACCACCCATCATCTGAGGATCACAGGGTGGTTTACAGTATAAAAGCACAAAAATCATAGCTGTCAACTTTTACCTTTTATTGCAAGGAATCCTATTCGGAATAAGGGAATTTCCCTTAAAAAAAGGGAAATGTTGACAGCTACGCACAAAAATACATGACAAAACCCTACACTTTCCAGTGCATTTTCCCACTACTTGTTGCAAATGAATAAATAAATATATCCAATCTTTTGGGGAAGCAGGTTTGTTGCATAAACAACAACAACAACAACAACTTATTATTTGTACCCCGCCCATCTGGCTGGGTTTCCCCAGCCACTCTGGGCAACTTCCAACAAAGATTAAAAATACATTAAAATGTCACACATTAAAAACTTCCCTGAACAGGGCTGCTTTCAGATGTCTTCTAAATGTCAGATAGTTGTTTATTTCTTTGACATCTGATGGGAGGGTGTTCCACAGGGCATTCCACAAGACCTCCCAAGCCACTTACAACCGCACAACATGAGATTGATCCCCATCCCAAAGTCTAAGAGCTGGAAGTGCTCTTAGACTCTTTAGGGACACACACACACACACACCATGATTTGATTCTAAGGGTGCTTCCACACTTGGCATTTAGTGTGGAATTGCCATGCTTTGCTCAATTGCTTTTTGTAGGGCATCTTCATGGCACCATCATCCAATCATTGCCATGCTATATTTTTCCTGTGGTTCTTCTGTCTTTTGTCAGACCATGAAGCAGTCCCTTCCAGACAGGTGTTTTTTGTGAGACTGGTGATTCTCACACACGCAGGGTTTCTGTAACATTCACACATCATTGGCATCAACATGCCAGCTTATATCCCCCCATCATATAATGCTGATTTTCCCTTTCCAGCTGCAATCTCTTCCTCAAAAACACTTACATTTTCACATTCACACTAAACCATGGTTTGGCTTAGCATTACATTATAGCTGTTATGTAGGTAGCCCTCATCTGTTCAGTTGAATGTGAAGGCTCTCCACGCAATCAAGGACCCTATCATTTCTGAATGAACATCTTATTCTCTCTGGATCACTCAGCTGTTGTCTCCAAATATGTATTTAATGAAATAGATAATGCATTTAATGAAATTTAATGTATTTAATGAAACAGGTACTGTAATTAATAAAATAATGCCACCAAAAAGATTTACTTTTTATTTTTGCAATGAAAAAATAAATGGTTTTTGTAAACTACTCTGGGATTGTTTACAAGCAAGTGGTGTATAATTTTTTAATAAAATAAATAAAGTAAGAAGAAAGTAAATGGGGGAAAAGATACTTACAGCAGGGCCAGGAAGACCCCTTTCTCCTTTTTCACAGTTACATATAGGAGGCTGGGGACACTTTGAATAGAAATAACCATACAAATTAATCATCACTTCCCACCTAGGCAGAAAGCTCTACAGCTCTTTTATTTTCCTATAATTTATTTATTTAACCACAAGTAGGAAAGATCTAATCTTGAAACCGCATCCTATTGCTTTACAGTACTGTTTTCTAATCAATATTTTCACAGTTTCCACACAACATGGTCAAAACTTACATTTCTCATTTCATTATTGAATCCATACTTCTTGTTCATGTTTCAGCTTTCTGGCTGGTGCTGAATTTTGTGTTCCCTATTGAAGTGATAAATTTACAAATATCTCCATTTCAGATTCTTCTAGTAGTCCTGGGTGAACTATAGCTGGACGGAATCTCAAATGTCTGTGTGGTGTAGAAGTACTCTAACAACTGTGATTCAGTTCTTTTTCATATACAGCAGAGTTAAACTTTGGTCTTTGCTACCACAAGATGTTGTGACTGCCACCAACTTGGATGGCTTTTTAAAAAAGGGATGAGACAAACCCCTCTTTCAAGACTATCCATGTCTACTAGTCATGAGGACTGTATTATGTCCAGGATCAGAGGCAGCATGGTTTGGAAAGCCAATTTCTTGGCACCACAATCAGGACATTATAATTGTGATTGTGTCCAGCTTGTGCGTTTTTCATAGGCATCTGGTTATCCATTGTGAGAAGACAGTAAAGGTAAAGGGACCCCTGACCATTAGATCCAGTCGCGGACGACTCTGGGGTTGCGGCGCTCATCTCGCTTTACTGGCTGAGGGAGCCGGCGTACAGCTTCCGGGTCATGTGGCCAGCATGACTAAGCCGCTTCTGGCGAACCAGAGCAGCGCACAGAAACGCCGTTTACCTTCCCGCTGGAGCGGTACCTATTTATCTGCTTGCACTTTGATGTGCTTTTGAACTGCTAGGTTGGCAGGAGCAGGAACTGAGCTACGGAAGCTCACCCCGTTGCAGGGATTCGAACTGCCAACCTTCTGATCGGCAAGTCCTAGTCTCTGTGGTTTAACCCACAGCGCCACCCGCGTCCTGAGAAGACAATACTGGACTAAAAAAACTAAAATGGCATCTGGCATGATGGAGGAAGGCTCTTCTTATTTTCTTATATGATACCCTTGGGAGTTAGCATTAGGTGTTTTCACTTATCTATTATAGATATATTCAGACTATTGCTGGAACCGGAAACTACAAGATGCATTAAAGACCAAACAAATTTACATTTTCTTATTTCACTTTTTAGTGCTCATCATTTAGCAAGACTTATTATTCTTTTTCTATTTGTTTTAAATTACTGAAATGGTAATAATGAACATAGTTTTGGCAAGATAGTTTGTTGGTTCACCACCACTCTTAATTTAAAATGCTGTAGATGTAATCCATCGTCCCCAGTTCACAGTTAAGACTTACCCCTTCTTCTGCCAGTTCTTTCTGGGGAGACAAATAAGTGCAAACAAAATTAATTATTTTATAAGTAACAAGGCACACTGTGAGAAAAATGAAAAAAGAGACTTTGCTGGCTGGGAAGGTGCTGACATAGGGCCAGCATATGCCTATTTCTTGTACACAAACACAACAAATCATAGGAAGAAGCAGAGTAGTATTTCTGGTTGTTCAAGGCATAGATATGTGCTCCCTAGGGATTCAATTAAAACCCACAAATTAGGAATGCAGTGTTAAATATCACTGTATCATCATGTAAGGAATGTGTCCCCAGAGTTCAAGCACTGGGGATGTTTAATCCAAATTGGAGAATTCTATGCTGCAAACCAATTAATTTTGATGGAATTCTTTTATTGTGAATATTGATTATGAATGTTTACATGTAAATGTTTGAGTAACTGGTTTTGTACTTTGTAAACTACAGGAAGCCCGTAACCTATGCGCGGTTAGCTTGTGCACATTGAGTTTTACAGGCATGGCAGATAGATAGATAGATAGAGAGAGAGAGAGAGAGAGAGAGAGAGATCTGGGGGAAATGGCTTTGGCAATCCCACCCGCCATTGAACCCATTAAGTTTTGACTAGACACAATATTGGCTTTAGGCACTGTTATGTACTAAAGTTCTCACCCTGGGCCAGCAGGGGGATACTGTAGATAGTTATGCAAATGAAGGATCGAAAGTGACGTTCAGTGATTGGATAGTTTGTATGCAAATGAAGGATCGAAAGTGACATGCACGATCCTTGAAACGTTACCCTTATGTACGTTGTGGGCTTACCATACTTAGAAGCAATGATATTAAATATATAAAATGAATGACTGAATGAATGTCATGATAGAAATATTGCTTCTACCCCCTAAACTAGCCTGCTGCCCTCAGGAGGATGTTTTCTTATGGTCAGTGTCCAATCCAGTCAGCTTCCGCATATGAAATGCAAAAATTGAATTGACAAACCTTAAAAGTTCAGAATTGATTATGTGGCCTTGTGAATAAAAGTGAAACCAAGTTGTGCAGCAACAACAAAAAATCTAGTTGTGTGTGTGTGTTTAATAAACTACCACAGCTGAGATAATGTTGAAGCTATGGCCTTCTTCAGTCATTCTCGTCCACATGGGAAGGAGGTGAGAGGAAAGCCATGTTGTGTGAAGGGTGTGGCCTTCCACTCATGTCAGTTTTTGGGTACAACTCATTTGTGAAAGGACTGAGACAGATGCTGTCACTCCCTGCTTGAGCTTGAGAAATGCTGCAGTTGAGGTGACACACACAGTTGAGGAATGGGAGCTGGAAGTGGTGGTTGGCATCCTTCAAGAGATAAAAGGGCAGCATCTAGGGGTCACAGCAGGGAGGAGGGGTATGGGAGAAACAGAGGAGAAACACAGAAGAGAGATTTACGAGTAGGTAGAAGGAAAAGAGACGAACTGCAAAAGAAATTTATGTTGTCTCGGTGAAGGCAATGAGGAGGGAATAGAGGAAGAAGAACAGGCAGAAGTGGACACTGTACATGAGGTGTCAGGAGAAGAATTATGTAAGGGAAGGCAGGCAAGAAAACACCGCATATAAAGCAAAACACAGCAGAGTCCTGTGATGAAAGGTGGGTAACAGAACTCTTTGAGTACGTTCCCCACCAGGGGCCTCTTTGAGAACAAGAACTCCTGGGGTGAAGAGCAGGGATAGAGACGACACCATTATTATAATACTAGAAGTGCAGAGTACACTTATATTCTGTTAAGTACAATATACGCTTTATATAGGCCCCACTGAAATCTTTGTCCCTACCATTTCTTTGAGAATTCTCTCCACAACTCCTTTCTCTTGCAGATTGAAGACAAACCTGGATGCCGGGACACTGGCCAGGAGCCGAAGCTTGGCGGCATTGGCCACCTCCTCAGCCACTCTGGTCATCCCCACTGTGAAGAACACGATGCCTTGGTGTTTAGCATCGGCAGTGGCTGAGAAAATATCTGGGTTTCTCGGGTGGTCCACTCCGTCCGTCAAGAGCACAGCTACTTTCACGCTACCGTGAGTCCCCTCGGTCATGTAGAGCTGCGTGAGGTTGGTGATGGCGTAAGTGGTGTAGGTGCCGTGGCCGATGTAGGTGATGGGGGCGATGCGGGATTTAAAGGCATCTGGGCCCTTCCAATCTCTGAAAGTCTGCTCAATGAGGACGGTGCTGCTGTACTGCAGCAAGGCCGTCCTCCAGCTGAGGGAACGTCCAGAGCTGAGCTGCAGCCCTTTCATCCTGTCCACTATCTCCAAGATAAACTTCTTCTGTTGTTCGTGATTGAAGTTCTTTGCACTCTCCGAACTGTCCAGAAGGAAAGCCATTTCCAGAATGCAGTCTTCATCTAGAAATAACGCGTCACCTTGTAAATACTTTACATTACAGCCACATTACGGGAGCTATGGTTTGTTACAGTTCTCAAAAGCACCTACCCTCTCCATAGAGAACTGGGGCTCTGGGGCGGCAGGGGGTGGGGTGGGGGAGAAGGGCCTCCTAACAACTCTCTCAGCATCCTTCACAAACCACAGCTCCCAGAATTCTTGGTGGGGGGAGGCATGACTGTTTAAAATGGTACTGTAGTAGACCGCACTGAGAGCCAGTGTGGTGTAGTGGTTAAGAGCGGTAGTCTCGTAACCTGGTGAACCGTGTTCGCGTCTCCGCTCCTCCACATGCAGCTGCTGAGCGACCTTGGGCTAGTCACACTCCTCTGAAGTCTCTCAGCCTCACTCACCTCACAGAGTGTTTGTTGTGGGGAAGGAAGGGAAAGGAGAATGTTAGCCGCTTTGAGAATCCCTCGGGTAGTGATAAAGTGGGATGTCAAATCCAAACTCTTCTTTATATATATCGTGTGAACATGGCCTAGGTTAATCATTTGATAACTGTAGAGAATGTTACTCCCATTAGAGTTGGGCTGAAGTGACAAGAACAATTTCTCAGCAGTCCCACCCACCTTGAAATCGACATTTTGCCAATATTTCAGGGGTGAGGTGAAATACAATTTGGGGGAAAGTGAATCTGAGCAGCTGCCATTTTGTGTTTTTTTACCCCTACCCCACCCCAGTAAGTAGCAGCAACACCACTGATGGGAAGTGACACCAACCCCATCACATTGGCCACTCCTGCCTACCACTTCACCACAGTCCTTCCTCACAGGTGTGTTCAGACTTTAATACATTTCAAAGTAAACTTTGGGATCAGAACCGACCATTTCAAAGAATCTGTTAAAATTCAAAGTAGTCACCTTGGTCACTTGGACTGGGATACTTTTCTACTGCATTTGAGAGGAACGGTTTGGGCTTCTGTTTTCTGATTCCATTTCTCTTTTCTTCGTTGGTGTTTTGTGCCAAAAAGACTTGGTGGTCCAGCAGGAACAAAAGCCACCATAACCTAGAGGGCATGGTTTGCTTTGTTGGCCAAAAAGACACAAGAAATTGTGATTGCAAAAGCAAAACAAAGCACACAATACAAAAATGCAAAGCAAACAAAAGCTAGTTTTTTACTTGCAAAATGGAGATTGCCTTGTTACCACCTTAGTGAAAAGGTTTTATGATGATTTTTAATTGTTCTTTGATGGCTTTTTAAAATATACTGTAATTTAATGTACATTGCTTACAAATGTCAATGATTAAACAGTACAGTGGTACCTCGGGTTACAAACACTTCGGGTTACAGACTCCGCTAACCCGGAAGTAGTACCTCGGGTTAAGAACTTTACCTCAGGATGAGAACAGAAATCGTGTGCCAGCGGCATGGTGGTAGAGGGAGGCCCCATTAGCTAAAGTGGTACCTCAGGTTAAGAACGGTTTCAGGTTAAGAACAGACCTCCAAAATGAAATAAGTTCATAACCAGGGGTACCACTGTATATAAATACCTTAAATAAACAAATAAAAGCACATGATCCATTCATCTAACATTTTCTAGGAAATGTCACTTGCAATGATACCACTGCATGCAGCAATAGGTTTTTGCCATATTTACTATGTCTAAAAAATATTATTTGGCAAATTTATATCTTCTCCTTCCTCCAAGGAGTTCAAGCAACTTATAGTATTTAAGTTATATTTCATTTCCACACACACACACCAACAGTCTGTTAGACTGCAAACATGTGGACAGATTGTTCATTTTAAATTCTATAATACTACAGCATCTAGGCTAGAGGCACCGGATAGTCATAAGTACAAACAACAATAATCTAGAAAGTACTTTACAGTAGCTCTTCAAGGTACGCTGATTGATAATGACTTGCGCTAGACCACCTGGAATGCTTTCTGGCAGATCAAGGATTTGAATTCCTACTCCAATGAGTACAGTTTTCTAGCCACTATGCCATACTGGGTTATTTCCATAGGTTTTATCCCACTCTGCTGCCAAAAGACGGGAAGCAGTCAAAAGGTCTAGAGTGGAGCTGAAGGACAGGTAGGCAGAGCTGCACAGCAATCTTTGCTTGCCTTCCATAGGTTGAGGTGGTGGCGCAGCTTGAAACTTGAAACACAACAACAAAGAATGTGGCAGATTGTGCATCTACACCCGCAAATTAATTTTTACCCGTATGTTTCTATTTAAGAGGGATGCATTACATATAGATCAGTATGTCTCATTCAAGAGGAATCTGTTGCATATAAAGAGCTGCCCAAAGGCCTGGTGTTTGATGCCAAAATCAATGTCAAGTACCTGATTTTATAATAACTTGCATGCTGCAACAATTTCAATTTCACCCCTGGGAGCTGTTTCCAAACATGAAATTGGGATTTAAAAAGGAATAATATTCACACCAGAGATATAAACAAGCCTCTGTCCTTCAGTTAGTTTTACAGTTTCCTCTGCTGTCACTTTTATGGCTTGCTGGTGGCAAAAACTGCCTTGATAAGAGTTTGTTGGGGAGTTTCAGCCCTTCTAGCAGAGATTTCACTGTCCTATATTCTACACACATAGTCCCAGCATAAACACAGACAAAGTGCCAGTCACATGGATTTTTTTTTTTTTTGGGCGGCGATAAAGATCTCCCGACACATAAATCTGCTTCATGTATCTTTTGTGTATTGGTTTCAAACCGTCTGAGGAATGAGCAATAAAAAGCCTACAGCAATCCAACTCCCTGCTAAAAGGCTGGTGCCTATAAAAGATATCTTAATTCTTGCACAGTTTGCCCTTGCACAACACTGCAGTCGTCTGGGGGCGGACAGGCAAGAGAGGATTCTTACCTCTGTCTTGTTGGATGCACCAAGTTATGTGGTGAAGAGTGCTGTGTCTGGGAGAAGAGACTTCTGCCTGAGGTTGCTGCCTAGGCTATTACCGGCTCAGAGCCTTCCACTCTTGAAGTGAATTGCAGAGGGAGTAGGAGGGGGGAGCAGGAGGAGAAGAAAGTTTGACAAAGGAAAGGGACCACTCCTCCAATCATCTAGTTCCACCGAAAGCTACAGCCACACTGACTCAAATTCCATCCAGGACACATTTATTCACACTTGTTTTACTCATCCCCAGGCTAAGTAAATCCACGTGTGGTAGTATGGCAACGTTTATATCCCACCTACGTACTCACACACCTGGACTCAACAAAGTTGTTTAACTCATTGGGGGCAAATGATTTTCATTTTTTCTTTCAGCTGTGGAGAAGAAACTGTTTCTCTGTGTGTGGTGCAGTGCAAACCTCATTTATACAAATGCAATTGTCAAACATGCCTGCACCTAGGTCTCATTATTCTGAGAAATATTTGTTCCATAGTTCAGGTTAATACGAGAGGTATCATAGCTCAATTTTCATGAGACCTGGAAACTGGACTTGAGTCTCGGGGGCAACACCAATTACCATATTTTTTGCTCTATAAGACTCACTTTTTCCCTCCTAAAAAGTAAGGGGAAATGTGTGTGCGTCTTATGGAGTGAATGCAGGCTGCACAGCTATCCCAGAAGCCAGAACAGCAAGAGGGATTGCTGCTTTCATTGCGCAGCATTCCCTTTTGCTGTTCTGGCTTCTGAGATTCAGAATATTTTTTTTCTTGTTTTCCTCCTCCAAAAACTAGGTGCGTCTTGTGGTCTGGTGCATCTTATAGAGCAAAAAATACGGTAATGTGGTCTCATGTGTCATCTACAGAACTCATATTTTCTTAATTGTTTTGTTAAAGTAGCTTACTTGCTTAGAATACACACACACACACACACACACACACACACACACACACACAAACACTCTCACTCACTCACTCACTCACTCACTCACTCACTCACTTATAGGCCCTGATGGGTAAACCCAGAATTGCTTCATCTACCTAACAGTACAGCAAATATTTTAAAAATCTTAACATGCACCTGTATGAGGCCTAAAATAAATGTGATGTTATTCACATCTTTAGTCCATGTTTATTAAAGGTAAAGGGACCCCTGACCATTTGGTCTAGTCGTGGCCGACTCTGGGGTTGCAGCGCTTATCTCGCTTTATTGGCCGAGGGAGCCAGCGTACAGCTTCTGGGTCATGTGGCCAGCATGACTAAGCCGCTTCTGGTGAACCAGAGCAGTGCACAGAAATGCCATTTACCTTCCCGCCGGAGCGGTACCTATTTATTTACTTGCACTTTGACGTGCTTTCGAACTGCTAGGTTGGCAGGAGCAGGGACCGAGCAACGGGAGCTCACCCCGTTGCGGGGATTCGAACTGTTGACCTTCTGATCGGCAAGTCCTAGGCTCTGTGGTTTAACCCACAGCGCCACCCGTGTCCCTTTCCATGTTTATTATCCCCCAATAATTAGCCAGTGTATCACCCCATTTCCCTTGAAATGTTGTGAGAGAAGTTTCCTGCTTGCACTTCCCCCAGATAGCAAAATTACTGCAGAAATCACAGTTCAGTAGTCTATCTGGATCTGGGTTCAAGCCTAGGACAGCCTTACAAAAAAGAAAAGAAAAATGGCACGACTGAATCCTTAAAGTTTTCAAAAGAAGTGCTCTTCTTAAAAAATGAGAGATAGAGAAATAAGTTCTGTTGCTGGCTGAAGAGGCACCAGACAGAACAAAGCAGCAACGCTTTCCCCCCAAAGAAACTTGTTAAACTCGAATACGGATCTGTAAGAAGCAAGAAATACCCCTATCCAAATTATCATTTGTTACTCATGCCTTTGTATGTGTGTGTGTGTGCATATTTATTTAGCAGCAACTTCTTAGCTGCATGGTGTTCTTATGATGAAGCAGTTCTGTTTTGCTTCAGGACAAAATTTTATTTTGCCCAGCTGCCTTCTTGCCTGGGTGGCTTAGCAGATTTCTCGCAAGTTTTATGGCCAAGTGCACATGACACATGACAACATTCTCACTAGAATTCCTGGTATGTGACATGTTGCATGCTACATCGGGCGCTTACAGACTTGTAGCTGCCTGAAATGATAATATATAACCCGCAACTTGAAATATACTTTTAAGTGCTGAAGTAAGGGGAATGCATGTGTAATTTTAAGATTTTCTGTAGTTACACAGAAAATTAAGTTGATATTTTTTATTTGACCTAACGACTTCTTTTTACTTGTATCATTGATAATAAAAATAGTAATAACAATCATTTTAAGTAGAGATTTTTATCCCAGTCTGCCTCTGTATTGAATTAAAAATTGTTTTTATATGAATTTGTTTACATCGTTCTCTATCTGAGATCATCCTATACATATATTTTGTTCATGTTTTTATTAAAAAATCGCCTTGGGATTTTCCTAGGAAGCAAATTAATGGAAATAAAATTGATGATGATGATGATGATGACAAACACAACACAATAGGGAAAAATCAGAAAGAAAGTCAGTTACTTCCACACTGTGGACTCAACTTTTATTGGTGTTTGGTATCCATTTATTTATGTATTTATTTCATTCCGTCCTCTTCAATGTAAAGATTCGCAGAGCAGCTCATAATATAATGCTAAAACAAAAAGCAAAGAATTAAACAACCCAAAACAGAAAGTTTGACAAAACATAACAAAGAAACATTGGAAGATGCCTTATACTAAGGCAGACCATTGTTCCATCTAGCTCAGTACTGTCTACACGGACTGGCAGCCACTTTTCAGGATTGTCAGTCTCAAGTTTCTCCCAGCTCTACTTGGAGAGGCTGGGGATTGAAACTGGGACGTTCTGCATGCAGCTCAGGTGCTCTACCACTGAGTTGCAGCCAGAGCTTTTTTCAGCCAGAATCCACCAGAACTCAGTTCCAGCACCTTTCAGGTGGGCGCCATTGCCATTACATATTTTTTACCTATTTATAAGAGAACAAGGGAGGCATTCATGATGAGTTCTGGCACTTCCTTTTCTAGAAAAATAAAACTGGTTACAGCCTTTCCCCAGCAGCATCACAGGCAAATGAAAAACAGGATTAAATCCACTGGCGAAGAACAATCGGAGAAACGAAAAGGATTTCAAGAAACTTGGTGCCAGAAGAACCTCTCTGGGGATGTGCATGCTGTGGACCATAAGTAAACAAAATGTTATTTGTAGTATTTCATGGCCTCGGGACAGTTTTTTGACCATTGAACCTGGAAGTGATTTGCAGGGCAGATGGCAAAAAATCATGACCCAACCATGGCATTTCGTGTGCATTTTTTGTACCTGCAGGCTGAGGTTAAAGCGTGCATGCAGTCGCTTGCCTTGCCCTCAGTGTTAACATAGTTTGGAAACGATGTCTGGTGATTTAAATGGAGCAGGCTTCCAGGTAAGAATGATAGGAACGGTGGCCCAAGGCACACCTTCTTTGAATACCTCCTGTAACATGTACGTAACAGGCTATGTTGTTAGGGAATTTAAATAAGAAGATCTCTGTTGGATCTGATCATGGGCCCATCCAGTTCAGGGCTAGCCAATATGGTGGCCTCCAGAAGTCAGGGTGGTGTAGTGGTTAAGAGCGATAGACTCGTAATCTGGTGAACCGGGTTCGATTCCCTGTTCCTCCACATGCAGCTGCTGGGTGACCTTGGGCTAGTCACACTTCTATGAAGTCTCCCAGCCCCACTCAACTCACAGAGTGTTTGTTGTGGGAGAGGAAGGGAAAGGAGAATGTTAGCCGCTTTGTGACTCCTTCAGGTAGTGATAAAGTGGGATATCAAATCCAAACTCTTCTTCTTCTCTTCTTCATTGGACTACAGCCCACATTGTTCCTGACCACTGCAGTGGTGCTTATTCTTGAATTAACTTTAGTTCTCCTCTCAATATTTAGAGTAGATGTACTGTACCTAACTGCTATAAACCGCTGGTCATGAAGTTCCTTGTGGCGATACAGCTAGAAATTCCCAGGAACTGTAGAGGAGCAGAACGTCTCTCCCTTAAGTAAGAATAAGAATAGCAATAAAAATATAATTTATATGCCACCCATCTGACTGGGTTCCCCCAGCCACTCTGGGCGGCTCCCAAGAAAATATTAAAAACACAATGCAACATCAGCCATTAAAAACTTCCAGAAACAGGGCTGCCTTCAGATGTCTTCTAAAAGGCAAATCATTGTTTATCTGTTTGACATCTGATGGGAGGTCATTCCACTGGGAGGGCTCCACTGCTGAGAAGACCCTCTGCCTGGTTCCCTGTAACTTCATGTCTCACAGTGAGGGAACCACCAGAAGGCCCTTGGAGCTGGACCTCAGTGTCTAGGCTGGACGATGGAGGTGGGGATGCTCCTTCAGGTATACAGCTATCCTATTGGTACAAAAGAGTTTGTCAACTAGCCTTGTATGAAAAGCTGACCCAGCAAAGGAGAAAGGCATGGGAGGAAATCGAAACTGTTAAATTTATGATGATTTGGTATCCTTTTATCCCATTTATTAACAAAAGTGATTCCATTGAATGATGCCACGCCTGAGCCCCAAGCGCTCTCTCTCTCTCTCTCTCTCTCTCTCTCTCTCTCTCTGGCCTGAGGATCTGTCCTCCCCTATTTCTTCCTCAAAGTTTCTTTAAACCATTTTCATTCATTTCTTCTACTATTGTAAAAAGTGACACTGCGGTAAATTACTCTTCTGATTGCTGAAAATGACTATCTATCATCTATCATCTATCTATCTATCATCTATCTATATCTATCTATCTATCATCTATCTATCTATCTATCATCTATCTATCTATCACCTGTCTATCATCTATTTTCCTAGGATATCCATCAATGCAGAATTGAGTAAGTACAGCAGTATTCATGACTGCCTGCCAATATGCTGTCATCAAGGTTCAGAGCTTCATGGAGTCAAAAACTATTCAGGTCTACAGGCTTTTTCTTACTCAAGCAGATGTGTTTGCCCAACACAACCAAAGCATTTGCGAAGAATATGCCGGTGGACCTGCAAAGGCCTGGAGCCTTTCCAAGCTACTCATCCATCTCTAATGATGTTGAAAAACTTTAACAAGAAACCAGGAATGCCAGAAGTCTGACATACTGATATGTTGCTACATGAAATGCATAATTCAACTGTAAGCAGCCTAAGGCATTGCTTCATAGTGAGGCACTCCATTAAATAACATTATAGCTAAAGCTAGGCAGCTATCGAAGCTTTAGCAACTATTCATATGTGTGTATCTGCTGTCTTTTAATAATGTACTTTCCGCAGTGTTGCATTAAACACAGCAAATGATTCATTTTAATCGTTTTA